TTGGGAATGGAGCAAGAGTTGCTGCATTAGCCGTAGGAACATATGATGTAGCTTTACCTTCCGGCATGATTTTAGAACCGAATAATTGCTACTATGTACTGCTTTATATGCGAAATATTATTTCTGTTTCTTGTTTGAACAAGGAAGGTTTCTGTTTTTATATAAAGAACAATAGTTGTTCGTTTTATCTTAATGGATTATTTTATGGTAGCGCTCATATTGTGGATGGGATATATGTTCTAAATCTTGATGTGCCAATCTATAATATAAATACAAAAAGGTTTAAATCTAATGATTTGAATCCAACCTACGTATGGCATTGTCGATTAGGCCACATAAACGAGAAACGAATTCACAAGCTTCATAGCGATGGACTATTAAATTCATTTGATTTTGAATCATTTGATACATGTGAATCTTGTTTAGTTGGAAAAATGACAAAAGCTCCTTTTACTAATCAAAGTGAGAGGACAAAAGAATTATTGGCCCTTATACATACTGATGTGTGTGGACCACTAAGTTCTACAGCCAGAGAAGGTTATCAGTACTTCATTACATTTACTGATGATTTCAATAGATATGGATATGTTTACTTGATGAAACATAAATCTGACTCCTTTGAAAAGTTCAAGGAATTTCAGAATGAAGTACAGAATTAACTTGGCAAGAATATCAAGGCTCTTCGATCTGATCGAGGAGGAGAATATTTAAGCCAAGAGTTCAATGACCATCTCAAAGAGTGTGGAATTGTTTCACAGCTCTCTCCTCCTGGAACACCACAGTGGAATGGTGTCTCTGAGAGGAGAAATCGAACTTTGTTAGACATGGTTCGATCAATGATGAGTCATTCAGATCTTCCATTATCTTTCTGGGGATATACACTCGAGACAGCTGCGTTTACACTAAATAGAAGTCCATCAAAAGTTGTAGAGAAGACACCATATGAGATGTGGACAGGAAAAGTTCCTAGTATGTCTTTTCTAAAGATTTGGAGCTGTGAAGCCTATGTAAAACGTTTACTTTCTGATAAGCTTGGACCCAAATCTGATAAATGCTTCTTTATGGGATATCCTAAAGAAACGAAAGGATATTACGTTTATAATCCATCAGAGAACAAAGTGTTTGTTGCTCGAAATGGTGTCTTTTTAGAGAAAGAGTTTCTTACTAAAGGAACCAGTGGGAGTAAGGTAAACCTCGAAGAAGTTATTATGCCACAAGAGGGTGTTCCAGTTCATAAGGAACCTCAATTAGATCTACAAAGAGTTGTAGAGTCTACTCCAGTGGCACCTATAGTTCGTAGGTCTGAAAGAACACATCGTGAGCCTATGAGATATGGTTTTCACGTGATGAACATCGTCATCTATTGTTAATAGAAAATGACGAACCTACGACCTATACGAAGCTATGATGGGCCCGGACTCGATAAATGGCTTCAGAGGCCATGAAATCCGAAATGGACTCAATGTATCAAAACAAAGTTTGGACTTTGATTGATCCACCCGAAGGTGTCAAACCTATAGGGTGCAAGTGGGTTTTCAAGAAGAAAACTGATATGGATGGAAATGTTCACATCTATAAAGCACGGCTAGTAGCTAAAGGTTTCAAACAAACTCATGGTATTGACTATGACGAGACCTTTTCGCCAATGGCCATGCTTAAGTCCATTCGAATTATCCTAGCATTTGCTGCATATTATGACTATGAGATATGGCAAATGGATGTAAAGACAGCTTTCCTTAACGGAAAACTAGAGGAGGATGTGTACATGACGCAACCTGAAGGCTTTACATCACCAGATAACACTGGGAAGATATGCAAGCTTCAACGTTCTATTTATGGATTGAAGCGGCATCACGGAGTCGGAATATTCGTTTCGATGAAACCGTCAAAGAGTTTGGCTTCATTAGAAACAAAGAAGAAGCTTGTGTATACAAGAAGTCTAGTGGGAGTGCAATTGTGTTTCTAGCGTTGTATGTGGATGACATACTACTCATTGGAAACGACATTCCTATGCTTCAGTCAGTTAAGACATCGCTAGGAAATTTTTTCTCCATGAAGGACATGGGAGAAGCAAACTATATCTTGGGGATCAGGATCTATAGAGATAGATCTAAGAGACTTATTGGACTGAGTCAAAGTACATATGTTGACAAAGTCATCAATAGGTTTAATATGCAAGATTCCAAGAAAGGTTTTCTCCCGATGACACATGGCATAAGTCTTAGCAAGACTCAGTGTCCTTCAACACAAGATGAGCGAGACCGCATGAGTAGGATTCCTTATGCATCAGCTGTGGGATCCATCATGTATGCTATGTTATGCACTCGTCCTGACGTTGCTTATGCATTGAGCATGACAAGTAGATACCAGTCAGATCCAGGGGAACCTCACTGGATTGCTGTCAAGAATATCCTTAAGTACTTGAGAAGAACTAAGGATTTATTCTTAGTCTATGGAGGTGAGGAACAGATCACTGTAAATGGTTACACTTATGCTAGTT